TGCAAGATAACTGTGTTGGAACACCCGAGAAATACCGTTTATTTACGTGGGTTGTCATTGTGTCTATTTTTTTTTTTTACAGACGGGGTCTTTCAAATTTAAGGTGGCAGTGCTTTGGTTTTTGGTGATTTTGTGCTTACTATGAAAAACTTTTATAGCCACAGACTGGACTCCCAACCCCCATTAGTTCCAAAGTTATGGGGTTTTTTAGTGTAAATTTTAGTCGTTTATTAAAAATTCTCCTTGCGAAGAACCAAAAAGTTTACGGAAGTGTGATTTTTTTTTTAGAGCCCAATAAACGTGCAAACAGACTAGCAAAGCCAGATTTTGTATATGCAAAGGGCACCCGGGAATCTTATTTTGAAAATGTATTTTTCTTATTTTTCAAAAATTTAAATTTAAAGGGTTTGGTAAAAAAAAATTTTTTGAGAAAAATTTCTGTTTAATGGTGGAAATTTGGAAATCCGGCTTTGCCACGAGAAGGCAAATCAATAAAAACTTGTAAAACAAAAATGAAGTCTCCACAACTTTTGGTTCTTCGCAAGGAGAATTTGGGAGAAACGACCAAATTTGTTACGAAAACTTCAATAACTCAGAAACTAATGGGAGTTGGGTGCCTCAATTTTGGGGTTTTAAGTTCATTTATAGTAAGCAACTAAAAACCCAAAATACAAACATGATGCCACAATTATTTGAAAAATGATATTTCACATTTTTTCACTTTACAGTATCCTTAAAATTATTGCGAGACCGCTCTGTTTCTTACGTATTTTTTGTTTGTTTTTTTTGTGACCTAATATCCTGTCCGATCTTCCCGCGCTGCAAGCGGAAACCGTTTTAGTGGGGCAGGGGTGGCTATTCAGTGAGGTCAGCAGGGCCAACTAATAACGAAGGAAAGGAGCGAGTGTGGAGGGAAATTTTTGGACGATAGACCTTTTAGTCGTCACCCGTGAAGAACATAAGTAATCAAAAATTAGGAACTAGTTGCGCGCCACCTAGTGGCCACTGCTATGGACTTCGTCCAGACTTACGCTTGTGACCATTGAGGGTTCAGCTTTTGTCAGTGCACAGTAACGGCCGCTAGGTGGCGCGCTACTGGTTCCTGTCTTTTTGATTACTTTTGTCCTTCTCCAGGCGATGACTGAAAGGGTCTATTGCAAGATTACAATGTTTTCGCTAAGATTGCGCAGGATTGCGGAAGATTTTTTAAGGATTGCGCGAGATTGCAGAGGATTTCGCGGGATTGCGGAGATTGCGGAGGATTTCAAAGATTTCTGATGATTGCATGGATTTCGGAAGATTGCAAGGATTGCGGCCTGATTGCGACCCGGTGAACACATGATTGCGGGAGTCGCGGCCCCCTCGGTGCCAACATCCGCCGATACGAAACACACCGATAAAACAAAGTCAGAGTGGTGCCGGAGTGACGCCGTGGCTCTGCATTGCTCGTTGGGGGAAGAAATTGTGACTAAACGACGGCTTTTACCTCAAATCCGGCGGTAGATTCAGAATCCTGATGAAATTTATGGTGTAGCCGTACACATTCAGTCCAAATCTACGATTGGTAAGTTTGTTTTCCAACTTGTTCAAAATCACGTTCGGCGCTGGTAAGGTTATGTGGCCGTGCACCCGTGTTGACACAAACGGGGGATGTTCATGTCGCAGAATTGTTTCGAAAAACCGAGGTCAGATCCTAAAGTAAAGAAATTTTGAAGGTAT